GCTCAGCAGTTATTTTTTTTGCTTTATCTGATAGGTACTTTTGAGCAAATGTAGCCTAAAGTATTTTACTGAGGTATTCAGGAAATAGATCAATAAAGTTCAAGATGGCATAAATATAGCATGTTTGATATGTGAGCTTTTCTATATCATTAGTAATTTTGGAGTCATAAATACCCAGTTACTACACGCACACACACACACACACGCACACACACACGCGCACACACACGCACGCACACACACACACACACACACACACACACACACAGAGCAAAATGTCACAATTAAGGAGATTGCGCATTTGACTTTTTAGATTTAGAGAGTAAAGTCTTTAGTTTAGTTCCACATGGATTATATCCTGGCTACAATCCCAGTATCCCAAATTACTAGATCTTGATGTTTGCTCTGCATTTGCACATCACTTCCTCTATAATGGTAATCTTCTTCCTAGTCTGGTATTGATCTCCACCCAGTTTGAGGTTGTATTCTCTTTTGAACCTAAACTCAAATTTCTTTTTCATTAGGGGAAATTTATCTTCTTTAAGAAGTTTTTATCACTTGGCATATTATGTTTGAGGTATTTGAGAATATAGCTTTTTATTTTGTCTGTTAACAAAACATAATTATCATTGTATTAAAAATCTTTATTTGATTCAACATAGCATTTTATCTTTTTGCTCATAAAATTAGATTGGATAACTGTCCATTTCCTTTAACATTTTATATTGATATACAATATTTGTATGTTTTATGGAATATATGTGATATTTTGTTACATGCATAGGCTGTAATGATCAGGTCTCAGGGTATTTAGGTTATCCATCACCTCGAGTATTTACTGTATGGTGGGAACATTTCAAATCCTCTCTTCTAGCTGTTTTGAAATACACTAGACATTGTTGTTAACTATAGTCATATACTCTACTGTTGAACATCAGAACATTTTCTTTTTTTCTTTCAACCAGATTAAAAGATTGTCCAGGGCAGTTTTTCTCTCTCAGAGCTATATAAAAATAGAGTGAGCTTAACTTAACACTTCAGGTAATTAGTATTTCATAATTACAAGTGTGTAATTGCCTAAAATCGCAAAGGGATTGAGAGGCATATTATGTTAAGTTGTTCACATCATTACTTTTTGAGATATAAACTGTCATTTTAAGACTCTTTGCCAGTTTCACCTCCACTTTAGAAACAAGATAAAATGCTAAAAAGATGACAAGATATCAAGCTGGCCATGCCCTAGGAAAGTAATAGTGGTAAAAAAAATAAATTAATTCTGATGTCAACTCAAGTGTGCTGACGATAGTCCTAAAAGAGGCACCAGTGAAGATTTGATTTAGAGCCCAGTTTATGCCTACAATTAAAAGGATATATTAAAAGATTTGTGATATTATCTATGAATAATCTTGACCCATAGACAAAAAGCATAAAAGAGCATGAAATAGAATTTGTGTAGTTAAATTATAATTTCTCCAAAAGTGATGTATTTCTATGATTATAAATAATCCTATAGATTGTTGGGAGGAAGATGGTATTTAAAGTGAAGAGATTTGTTTTCTTAATATCTCTGAAATAGTCATTAAGTGTGACCTCACATCTCAGCTGTATATCCTTCAAATAACTAAATTGTATCCAGTTTCATGTGTGGCATGTATAGTTGCCATACGTTTTTAAGACAGTTTACCTTTTATGTAAGTATTGTAGATCCCCAATTGTTTACTTTTATAGGGTAGATAAAGCATTTCAAATTCATTAGTGTGTTTCTTTTATGAATGTGGTTAGCAGTTTTTAAGCCTTAAAAAATCCTATTAGATGGATAAAATATTGTGGTATTTCTGAAATTTTACTGGTAATATGTTAGGCCAAATCATAATTACTACTTGAAGATTCTCTGACTCATCTCTAGCATGAGTATAATATAGGCTTAAAGATAAATTTAACTTTTCTTTAATAGTAAATAAGTTGACTAATCTTAATTTTATTTTAATTAAATAACTCCTAAATTTAATAACCCCCCCAAATTCATCCTATAGTGTCTTGCCTACAATTGTAGATAATTATTGTGACTACAATGACCGGTTTGTGATGAAGTACTCCCTACTGTATGCTTGCCTTGCTTTCACCTAGATTCTAGGGCCATTACTTTCTGTAACCATTTCAGTGAGCTGCCATAGTTTTCAGTCTGTACTGTCACCTGATCCAAGCATGCGCCAAAATATCCACTGTTTCTGGCTCCTGTATGCTGAATCTGCTTTGCAAACCCTTCGTTCTTTGAGCTTTTGCTTCAGCCAAAAACCAAATTTAAGAAATTCTCCAAAGTGTGGACATACGCCATTTGCTTCCCTAGCTCCCATGTTATGTAACTCTTTAGCTTTTATTAAATCTGTAAATATTTTATTACATACAGTAATGGCATCCCCATGTGCAATTGTGTGGCTCATGTGTCAAAATAAAGGCTGCTTGTGGGTTTGTCAGAAGAGTATGAATGCTCCACTGTGCTGCATTCAGCTTTTTTTTTTTTCCCCAATCAGCCACTTATTCTTTCATAATGTTTGATTTAATTATTTGATTATTTTATGTGTTATACTAAGGTAAGTTTGTAAATAAACTTTGTATTCTATGTGGTTACATGTATCTCATAGGAATTATTATTACATCCTTTTCCATTTAGACATGCTGGCCATTTGTAAATAAATGTATTTCAAGCCTAAGTAACTTTCTCCACTTTTATTAATTTTTAAGACACTGTTATGGATTACTTTCTGTAAAATTCATTTTTAAAAGAATAAAGCTACCATGTATTGTGATACAGAGGTAGGCAAACATAATAGGAGAAAATCTATTCTTATAAAAACATAGCACATGTCTAATTATTTGCTTTAGAAAATAATATTTTAAACTTCTCGAGTGGTTTAAAAAGTAAATGGCAGGTTCTACCAGTGAGTTTAAGAAAAGTCAGACCTTTTATTTTATGTGCTTTTTCACAAAAATAATTATTTTCTAAACTGAGATACAGTTCCATGATTATTTGTGATGCCAATTTTCTTAGAATCAAATAATGTAGTAGATTAAAACAGCCACTTGAATAATAGTTTGTCTTATGATACAAAAATTCTCTTAGGAAAGGATGATGTATGTTAAATGGATGTTCAAATTGATACATAAGCATGTATGTTTTAAAAGAAAAAGTATGGATTTAAAAGTGTATTTATTCTGTTAATGTATACATTTCAATTAGGAATATGAAGAAATTCTTTTTTTTTTTTTTGAGTTGGAGTCTCACTCTGTCGCTCAAACTGGAGTGCAGTGGCCGCTCCCGGCCACCACAGCCTCGACCTGCTGGGCTCCGGTGATCCTTCCACCTCAGCCTTCCGAGTGGCTGGAACTACAGGGGCGCGCTACCACACCCAGCTAGTTTTTTAAAAATTTATTTGCCAAGTTGCCCAGGCAGGTCTCGAACCCGCGGGCTCAGGCAATCCACTCACCTCAGCCTCCCAAAAAAACGGGATTACAGACTGAGCCACCGAGCCCGGCTGAAGAAATTGTTTAATACATGTAGTGTATATGTAAAATAGGGCCACCTAATTGCTTTACACATTTCTTAATTCATAATATTGATTGTTGACATCATATTGTAGTCTTTTCGATTTCTCTTCATCTTGTACTTTAATCTTTTCCTCAGTTTCCCGAAGTCTGTATATCCTTCTTTTCTTCTGAAAGAAAGTTTTAAGGTAGCTTTGTCTTGGATCCAATACTTAGATTCAAGAACTGGCTGGCATCATTTGTAGTTCTGGCTTTTTATCTTCTCATTTCTCCCCTTTTCTGATCTCCTCCCTGTGGAGGAAACAGTCACATCATAAGAATGTGAACTATAACAAACCAGTTAATCTTTCTTTACTTTGCTGTCTTCACTAGTTTACTAGTGAGTATCATTCTACTTACTCTACTTATTTTGAAAGACATTTTGAAAATGGGATATATATTGAAATTCAAAAATAGAAAGTGGTTGGATTATTTGGTTTTTAGTTTTAATAGTGCCTTTTATGTGGAAAATTATGATAAGAACTTAGCATCCTATTTAGAGTTTTTTTTTTTTTTTTCTTCTGTCTCAAATTGTTCCTAAATAGGAATTGGCCACAAAAAGAAATAAAGCAGATATGGTATGCTAATTATAGAGTGTTTCTGCTTTTAACAGCTTTGTATATAAAAGTTACTATAATTTTCAGCTGCTGTCACCAGTAGTTTGTAGCTAAATGTAGTCTGATTAGGAAGTATATGTGACAGAGGCTTCATTTATAATGCTCCATTACAAGCATTATTGGATTTTCTTATGGTAATACAACACAGTTCTGTGATTCTAAGCCATTTAAAAAATTACAGATCCATACATGGAGTGATACATCTGCAAATTGTTCTTATATGCATTAAGAAGTATTTGTATTAATCTTGTTAGTTTATTTTGCTTGCTTTTTAAAAATCACCTAGTTCTTTTATTGCTTACCTTGCATTAATATCTACATCTCTGTAGAAGGATGGCTACAGTTAGCTTTCTTTCTTTTAACACTGACAAATCTTTGCCCTGGAAAAATTCAGGATATGGTGGGATATTAAAAAATAGAAATGAAATTAGAATTTAAATTAAATTTATGGGTATGATACATAAGGTGTTCACTCAGTGAGGAGAGACATAGATCCTCTTTGTTATGATTAAAGTCTGGAGACTTGGGTCTACATTTTAAATTGTATCTAAAAATAATTTCCTGTAGGTATCCTTTTAAGTAATACAGCAAATGGAAATAGGTGATTTGTTTTCCATTAATCAAGTTTAGGATATTAAATCTTATGCTTTTGAGAAAGTAGCTTTTTAAAAGTGTGAAGTTTAAGAATCAATTGTAGAGCAATTCTTCTTTGCCTCCCATAGCGAATTTATTTTAAACTATTCTTGTTAATATAGACAGTGTGCTATTGAGTAGTAAACTGATTTAAAATTTATTTTTCAGATGAACCAGAAACTCGAGATGCATGGTGGGCAGAAATCAGACAAGAAATAAAATCACACGCTAAAGCATTAGGCTGTCATGCTGTAGTGGGCTACAGTGAATCAACTAGCATCTGGTAAATGATAATAACAACTTGCTTTCTAGATGCTGTAATTTAAATTGCCATCTGAAAGAAGAGAAGCTTTATATGAATATAAAGAAAAGAACATAGTGAAGTGGTCAGGAGCATGGATTTTGGACTATATCAGATTAAGGTTCATGTTATCTTCGCCATTTAATCACTGTGTAACTTTGGTAAGCTACTGAACTCTTCTGAGCCTCAATTTATACGTTAAAATGGAGGAAATACCACCAATCAATTAATCATTTAAACCAAGGATTAAATGAGAATGTAATAATCATTTAGCAAGTATTAACTCTAGGCTTATTTCACTTAGTTTGTTACTGTGCTAGCTTCTTCCACTGGGACCTTTGGAACCCTTGATGTACTGTAAATGAATTGCCATCTGTCTTTAAGGGTTGTCTGTAAACTCATTCTCTCTCCTTTTACTAACTGTAATGTAACTTTCTCCTGCTAAAAAATTATCCTTCCTAACTCTGCCAAGTTAGGAATGGACTTTCATACTCTTGGTTCTTAATTGATTTTTCTCCTACCATTCATTTGAGCAACTTCTCTTCCTTTAAAGTAAATGCCACTCTACTGTTCCGAACTGTCTACTTCCAAAGCATCCTTCTGCCTTTCTTAATTACTTCTCTGTTGTCTTCTCCAGTTATACATGCTTATCTCCATTCTGGCAGCCTGGCACTGTAGTGTTTTATTCTCAAGTAAGTCCTCTAACCCCACTTAACTTTCAACATATTTTGGAACTCATTATCATTTGAAACTGTTCCATTTAAAAAACTTGTAACTATAAAATTTTACTTTCAGATCACAACTTAATGTTTTTCTACCAATATCATTTTATCATTTATGTCTAGTTTGTTTTTACCCTTATTTTAGCCAGTTGTTTTCCCAGTTCCTTACTTAGGTTCTAGCTTTACTTGTTGTTTTGCTACCCTTGAACCCTACTTTCAACCCATTCAGAAGTTTATAATTGATGTTGTATGGAAACTGTTTGACCTTCTGCTATCTTATTTTTCCACCTTCTATTGTTAGATAATTGTTACTGCCAGATTCTCTGCTCTTGGGGTGTTCATTATTGTTAGAGAAAAACTACAAACTGTAGTAAATTGGCATTACAGAGCCAAGTTATTTACTCTTCTGGGACCTCTTTCTTTTTCTTTGCAGACCATGTATTATACTTCTGAACTGTCCTGTTCCTATGGTGTCATTTCTACTCTTGTTAACTACTAATTTTTTCGTGCTTATCTTGCCTTACTCCTTCATAGATCTCTTGGCTTATTTATAGATTTAGTGTCAAATACTTTCAGGATCTAGAGAAAAGGTTTTAAAAGATATAGTTCTTGCTATCAGATTTATATTTTACTGGATAGTTGTGGTAAGTAAAATATGTTTTATGATTAAGATATACTAGGATGCTTTGGGATTCCAGAGGGCTGATAGCCTGAAATGGGATTGGAAGAAAGTGTCAGTAAAGTAAGTGTCAGATGCTTGAACTGAATTTCGGTAATGAATATAAATTCTATAAATACAAAGAAGGAGCATGGGAAGAGATTTTAAAGCGTAAAAGACTAGAATGTGAGGAAGGCCACAAAGTGTAGATTCAGCATGACTGAAGATAGGTTACAGTCTATAAATGAGTTCAGTTAGTAACTCAGAAGTTTGAGTTCACCTGATAGAAGCTTCCCCCACCTCCTTACCTCAAAAAAGTCTTTGTATTTAAATCCCATCTTTACCAATCTATACTATTCCCACTTATGCTGTGTACTGTTACTGGATTAAACTCTTTGAAATGCGCTTCTGTGCTTGTAACTCCTTGATTCAAAAACTTCAGTGACTCCAGTTTACTTCTGATGTTCTCAGTGCCCACCGGCCTTTTAATCCTGCCTCCCTTTAAGTGACTGCTTCTTCCCAGTTCTCTCAGGCTTCTGTTTCATTTATACCTGTTTTCAGCATTTCATTCCTAGCTTGCTGCTTTTCTCATTTGTTTTGAGTGATTCAAAATAATTTCAAGAAATTCTTTTGAAAATCAATTTTCTATCACATAATGATATAATTTAAGTTCCATTTACTATATTTTGTATATTTTTTCAGATACTTTTATAATAATTTAGACTATGCTATATAAATCATTTTTATAAATATAGATGTTTGCATAGTTACTGCTTTTATTTATTTTTTCTCTTTTTATTTTAGTAGTTTTAGGGGGCACAGATAGTTTCTGGATACATGGCTATATCTAGAGTTGTGCTTTTAGAGTAATTTTAATAAAATTATTAAAGAGTTTTTAAATATGATTTTATTGATTAATGCTGGATTCAAAAGTGTAGTTTATTACTCCTTACATTTTGAAACATTTTATTCTTTTAGTTTTGCCATATTTTAAAGGAAGTTCTTGTCATTAATGTTAATGCTTTACCTTTTTTCAGTTTTTAGTTTATAAAGAATTATTGCCTTCTTCTAAGAAAGTTACATTACTTCTCTTTCCTCTCCTAAATTTGGGAGGTAATGCTGTTATATTATTTAATATTTTGTAGAGTCTTACTTGACTAAAAATAGTGAATGCTGTAATCATTTGGATATTTAGTATTTTTCCAAAGTTATACTCTGAAACTATTAACTTGTTTGTGTTTTTTCTTTATAGTGAAGAGGTCTGCATTTTATCTGCATCTGGCACGGCGGCTGTACTGAACCCTAGATTTCTTCAGGATGGCACCGTGGAGGGCTATTTGGAACAGAGGTTGTCATGACAGCCTGGCTTATTTTCTATAAGGGCTTATTTTCTATAAGGGCAGGGAAGGGAGAGTTTGACTTTTTTTTCTCTCAAGGCTTGAATAGTTCTTCTCTGTGAGAGTGGTTTACAATGGTAAACCTCAGAGCTTGGATGGTTCTTCTCTGTGAGGGTGACTTGCAATGGTACAGTGGATGGTTCTTCTCTGTGAGGGTGACTTGCAATGGTACAGTGTAGAAATTAGGACCTAGCACTTCACTGAGTTCACTTCACTGAGTTTTCGCTAGCCCATAGTCACAGAATAGTATTGAATTCTGTACTATATTCCACATATTTTTGCTTTTAGTATCTTGATGAGTGACATGTATGATTACTAATTAAAGAATTTCAAGTATATATTATTTTTACTTTGTCACAATATATAAATAATGTCTTTTGATTTTTTTCTTCCTCTCTTTCCCCTTTGTCTCACTTCCAAAAACAGAAAAAAATAATAAAGCAATTTTTATAAAGAAAATTCTTAATTTATAAAATAATCAAAGTATGATATTTTGTTAAAATTATAACATGGACAGTGAACTCTAACTATAATAGATATGAAAGGGAAAGTGAAAGCATTAGGCAAAATGAACTTACTTTTTAGATTATTTAATTGTTGGTCCCTTAAACTTTTAAACTATTAGCTTCCATAAATGTCAAAAATGCTTTTCATAAACAGATGAAACTATCAGATATACATATATGTGTATATATATGTACAGTCATCCTTTGGTATCCATGGGGAATCTGCAGATGCTCAAGTCCCTTATATAAAATGGTTTAGTATTTGCATATGATTTATGCACAGCCTCTCATATACTTTAAATAATATCTAGATTACTTATAATACCTAATATAATGCCTAAATATCGTTTCACTTGAGTGGATTCAACATAGTGCTCAGCACACAGCAGTGTGAAGTTTTGCTTTTTTGGTGTTTTGTGCGATTCTTTGTTCTTTCCTGAATATTTTCGACCCACGATTGATTGAGTTCATGAGTGTCAAACCCAGAGATATGCAGGACCAACTGTAAATTTAAATGTATATATACTTTTCTATATGGACAGGGAAGGGAGAGTTTGACTTTTTTTCTCTCAAGGCTTGAATAGTTCTTCTCTGTGAGAGTGGTTTACAATGGTACAGTATAGAAATTAGGACCAAGCACTTCAATAATAGTTTGGTACCTGGGTCTACCTGGATAACATAGATTTTAACTACCCCTTACTTCACAGTATGCATATTTACTTCCCTCCCCCAGTATTAATACATCAAGTGTTAAGGGAGAAAGAAAAAAAAAAAAATTTTTGTGTTGTCAAATTTAGTGTAGATTTGCAAGTGTTTATAACAAAGATATTCTAACTCTCATAGTCACAAAAGGAACTTGTTTCTTTATCAGTATTAGAATGGGTATTGATTATTATAAATTCTAGAGCCTTAAAGGTCATCATAAATAGGAAAGTGAATGTGGGACATTTTGAAGTATATTAAACAATTGGAATGTTCTATTGAGAAAATGTGCCTTTGCTGGTGAATTGTCTCAGTGCTGCAATATAGTTCTCACACATGTTCATAGATTTCATTCTTGAGTAGATAGAAAGTCAAAGTTAGCAAATGACATTTCCCATGCAGCTTGGTTCTTTCTGAATTGTGACTTGAATGGATGCAGTATATTCTTTTATATGGTAGTCCAATACCATAGGTGTCATTATTACTAGTTGTAAAAGACAAAAACATCTTTTCTTTCTGCTATAAAATTATTATGGCTTACTAGGAAAAATTCAGAGAATGTAGGAGAGTAGAAGGAAAAAAGTAAAAGTTCTATGATCTCACTCTTCAGGGACAATTCCTTTTATACATTTTATATTTAGGATGCTTTTGTAAATTGTAATACTTTTATTTGTTTGCCTTGTGTTGTTGTACCACTAATGTTCAAATTTGTATATGGCGCTTAGTTATTAAAATTGCTTCAGTTTTCATTCTCTTGTGCCCCTTTCTAACACATTGGCTTTGTAGTCAAACCAGCTGAAATTCAAATATGAGGTCTGCTCTTTAAGTACTCAGTGTGACGAAGCAAGTTAGGATCTCGGGTTGGCTTCAGGCTGAGTAGAACTAGTATTTGTGAGGCATTATATTGGAGAGGCGGTATGTTTTTAGCTATAGTTTTTTAAAAATTAATTTCCAAAAAGATCCATAAAACTTTCTAGATAGGTATTCCCGTTTTATAGAGGAAGCTCTGAGAGATCAAATAACTTGTTCAGAGTCACACAGTTCCATTCAGAAGTCTGACTTCTCTGGTAGTTCTGATGCACCAGAATCCCATTTCCATAGTAAAAGAATAATTTCTAGGAGTAATTTAATATGATTTAGAGTATTATTGTATACATTAAAAAAAGTATACAAAAATAATCTGCAGAAGGCCTGTCTCTTTGTGTATGAGGTCCCCCCCATCACCTTTTAATTTCTCTACTTGCCACAATTTAACTTCTGATTAGTTGCTTTAGATTAGGGAGAATTGAAACCCACATCTTTCTAGAATGTTAGGAGATGTGGCTGTGTGAAAGTCTAGAGCTCTCCGTGAAGCTTTCCTTTGCCTCTATCGCTGTTGTCCTGACATCCTCAAATTTAGTGAATGAAAAAATACTTAATCATTTGGAATGGATTCACAAACAGTAAAGTGCAACAAACATTTCACAGTGAATGGGGAGGTTGTGGGTGATTCATTTACAGTTTATATATGACATATATGTCACTTATGAAACAGGGGTTTTAGTTTTTGACATGTTAAAACAGTCATTGGAAATTAGAAATCTTAGCATATGGCCTGTTGACTTACTTGTTTTTCTTTTTAAATCTATCTTTTTAAACTTTAAGTTAAAAAAAAATGTTAGTTTGTTTGATTGAACATTTTTTTCCTTAAGAATTTTTGTTTTGTTGTTATATTTGTCAACCAGTAGGAAAATGTTGCCTTTGTCATTTAGCCATTTAAAAAAAATGTGTCCCAAACAGAAATCTTTGGATAATAGTGATCTCTGTTAGGTGGTAAGTCATCAAATATATGAATTGGTGTAAAATTTCTTTCATAGAAAAATGTATGGTTCTGATTTCATGGTCATTTGTAATTATTATCAGTCATGATGGTACTTTTATAGCCTATTGTGATAGAAGTTGTAAAATTTGTATATAAGTACTGTGTGTGTAATATCAGTTACATATTATTTTTGTAAAAAATTATAGGTTTTTAAAGAATGCCTTGTTTTTTTCTTAATGTATTTATATAGGCTTGAAGAAAATTTGCCTACAGGTTGTGGATTTTGCCATATACCATATGATGAACTGAATATGCCATTTCCAGCTCATCTTACATATTGCTATAACTGCAGGAAACAAAAAGTTCCTGATGTTCTCTTTACAACTATAGACCTCCCAACAGATGCAACAGTTATTGGAAAAGGTTGTCTTATTCAAGCAAGGTATGTTTGTAAAATTAGCATTTAGTACAGCAGTGCCCAACCTTTTTGGCATCAGGGACCAGTTTCTTGGAAGGCAATTTTTCCATGTATGGGATTACAGGGTATGGCTTCAGGATGATTCAAGTGTATCACATTTATTGTGTACTTTATTTCTGTTATAATTACTTTGTAATGTATAATGAACTGTATATATATAATAAACATATAGTGAAATATAATGTAATTTATAGTGAAATAATTATATGTCATTATACAATAAAGTAATTATATATTATAAATAATTATACAATAATTATGCTACCAGATGCAGGTGCACAATTGAAGTACATCAACTCACTTGCCACTCACGGATAGGGCTTTGACATGACTCTTCCAGCTGTTGATTTATTATGGTCTCTGTGCAGTCATACCTTACTGCTAATGTTTATTTGTCTTTGCAACTGTTCCTCAGCATCACTGCCTCAGTGCCACCTCAGATCATCAGGCATTTGATTTTCATAAGGAGCACACAGCCTAGATCCCTTGCATGTGCAGTTCACAATAGGGTTCTTGTTCCTATGAGAAGCTAATGCCACCACTGATTTGACAAAAGACAGAGCTCAAGTGGTAATGTGAGCTATGGGAAATGACTGTAAATATAGATAAGGCTTCACTTGCTTGCCCACCGCTCTCCTCCTGCTGTGTGGCTGAGTTCCTAATAGGCCACAGACCACTAATGGTATGTTGCCTGGGAGTTGGGGACTCCTGATTTAGTATTTCTAAAAAGCATGGGGTATGAGTCATAAACCTATTTTCAGATATCAGCTCTACTGTTTCCTACCTGGGCAACTCTGTTGGAATCTTGTATTTTATTGCATATATAAAATAAAACTCAAATAAGTTTATTTTCAAAAGCAGTTTTAAACATTAAATGCTATACGAATCTTTATTATTATGGCAATTATTAATTAACCTGCTACAGTCTAGGGATGTGACTAAATATAGACTGCTTAGTTAACATATTTTAGAAACTGACTTTCTTTTCTTTTCAAGAATAGTGCTATGTAGTATATATATTTTTTTTTTGTACTACTTTATCAGCTGGTTATAGTTCCTTTTAAAATACATTGGAGTAGGAAATCCTAGGTTGTAACAGGCATGTATGAAACAGCTGTATCTGTCTAGGTCACCAATATCTGCCTGGTCACCAAGTCCATTGGGCATTTCTGTCCTTATTACCTGACATTTTAGCAACAGTTCTATAGTTGACTATTTTCACTTTCTTAAATTCCTTTGAATTGTGGCATTCCTTCACAATACCACACCTTCTGTGTTCTCCTACTTTTATGTTGTCTTCAGCCTTCTTGTTGACTCCTCCTCATTTCTTGATCTTTGCGAGCCGTAGGTTTGGACTCTCTTCTCAAAGCTCTCTTCCTAGTTGAACTCATCAATTCATGTAGATCTATATGCTGTCTGTGACTCCCAGATTTATAACTGTAGTCCAGAACCCTCTCCAGTGCTTCAGGCTCATGTACCTATCTACTTCATTCCCCGTTTTGATGGGTCATAGGCATCCATACTCATTCCAAGATGAGCTTCCAATTTTCTCTATTTCTTTCTTGTTAGCCTTTCTGATTTAATAAATGGTATCTCTATCCATTTCTTCATGCCACATTTGGTATTCTTTGACACTGTCCTTTTTCTCAACCCCCCCACATTAAATTCATTACAAAGTCGTTGATTGTTTTTTAAAAATATATTTCTAAACTATTTACTTTCTTCCCTCTGGCATCTCAGGTCTTCAATTTGGGATTGTTTTTCTTTTACCTGAAATGTGTGCTTTAGAATTTCTTTTGATGGGCTGGTGATGGTGAACTGTCTGATTTTGGTTGTTTAAAAAATGTGTTTATTTTACTTTTATCTCTAAACAATATTTTATGCTGGCAGTTATTTCCTTTCACCACACTGAAGATACCCTTTTGCTAGTGTCTTCTGACTTTCATTCCTACTGTTGAGAAATAATCTGTTAGTCTAATTACTGTCTCTTAAAGGTAGTTAATCTGGCACAAAGTAGATGAACAAGTAATTTTTATATATTTTAATGAGTAATTTTTTTTGTCTTTTTTTTCTCTGCTGGCCATCCATCATATGGTCAAATGTGGTTATAAAACCTATGATTTAAAGTTACATTCTCTCTTGATTTTGGTTATTACTTATTTCTAGAGATTTTGAGGTTTTTCAATTTTCTTTATTGAAGTATGATTTTTATTGAAAGTTTATACAGTGACACAAAATTGCAGAAAAGATTATTGATATAACTTAGTAAGTCCATTAGAAATAAGTTAATGTTTTTAAAGCAAACTTCTAGAAGATTTAAAATTTGGAATTTTCTTAAGAATACCGTCCACTGACTAAATTATCTTCCTTAACAGATTATGTCGCTTAAAAAAGAAAGCCCAAGCAGAAGCAAATGCTACAGCTATCAGTAATCTCTTGCCATTTATGGAATATGAAGTGCATACTCAGCTAATGAATAAACTAAAACTCAAAGGAATGAATGCTTTGTTTGGACTAAGAATTCAGATTACAGTGGGTGAAAATATGTTGATGGGCTTAGCGGTAAGTTTAGATGTTTTTGATTTTGTTATATGAATTCTATAGTTACAATAGATTCTGCTTTATGTGATTCAAAGGGTCTTTCAAAGACTTATCTAAAGAAATTGACATTAAGAACTTTAAGGGACAGGGACATTTTAAAATGTAAAAATTATGTGGCTTTCACATATTTTAAAGGGACTGTGATTATAACCTCAGTAGTCCTGAGTCTAAAAATTCTCATATGTAGTTTGTTTAGTAACTTGGCCACAATTGGTCTGGACTTATTGTTTATATGTTGCTGAAACAGGGTTTCACCATCTCAGCAATGTTGACACTTGGGGAAAGATGACTCTTTGTTGCAACGGCTGTCTTGTTCACTGTAGGATGTTTAGCAGCATCCCTGGCCTCTACCCACTAGATGCTAGTAGCAGTCTTCCAGTTGTAACAACTAAAAATATCCTCAGAAATTGCCAAATGTCCCTTGAGGAAAGAGAGGCAGTTTCCCCCCCTTGATGTGGACCATGGGTTAAAATAATCTTTAGTTTTAATGGAGAAAATAAAGCAAAACATGTGAGAAACTGTTAGATAGAGAGTTAAGCTTTTACATAAATGTGCACCTGTGGTCAGTGATAGAATGTGTAATAAAATATGTGTTTCTTAAATGCTTATAAAATATGAGATGGAAAAAGCTCTGTCTTGGCTTAATGTCCACTTTGACTTGGTAGAAAATGAGTTCTGACTGGAAAGATATCAGTGGGAAAGTCAGCACTGTCTCTATAAGTAGTATGGGACCCAGAGAACTAGGTCCCTGCAAAATATGTATCAATCCTGTGGAATCTGATCAATAATATTTATGGAAATCCTCTCATGTTCTTGGCACTTTTTATTTGTCAGGATTTTGTCTATGTGGCTGACCATTTTCAAATTGATACTCTCATGCTATCTTTCTGAGACATGTATAGAAATTTAATTTTAATAAATTTATGGAACTTGAATTTTTTTGTGTCAGTATATATTAATAGGTAAAATGTACAGTTGTTTCCTGTGTCATCAGTTCTTTCTTTAAGAGCAAATATGTAAGTTTTTGTATGTAGAGGATAACTGTGATGATGATCAACTGATTAGGTATTATAATTTTCTAACAACTGAAGTTTGTAATAATTAATATAAGTAACCTGGTTATTATTAAAATATGTAATACTGAAATTAACCTGGGGGAAAATGTTCATTTTGATTCAGTGGTCTAAAAATTTGCATGCTCAGCAAGTACATAAGATAAACGTATAATTTGTGCTGAATGCAAGACTAGTGATTGGTGGGTGCCTATGGACCTAAGCACTGGATTCAGATCCATAGTTTTTAAAAAAACCTCCTGCCAACTACACCAAACATTATGGATGGTTGAGCCCTGAGAAACTAGTTTATGACACTAGTGTAATTTAAGACCTGCCTCAAATACTTTTTTCTGATTCATACTGATCTTTTCCTTCTTGATTACTAGTGATACTAATTATAACTGACCTTTTGTCCTTATGCTTTGTGCACTTAAATGCTGAGGTCGTAAGAGTAGCTTCTGATAAGTGCTGACTAGGTGTCTGGCACTGTGCTATTCTAGAAGGAATGTAATGTTATCTTCACTTTACAAGAAGAGAAAACATGCTATGAGTGAGACTCCAGAGTGATGTGGCTACATGTGTTGGAACTGGATTTCAAACCCAGACTTATTTGATTCTACATTCTGTGTTCCTAACCATGCAGGGCTGTTGCCTCATTAATGAATGGAGCTAAGGAAGTGATAGAGATGGGTCAGTTCCCTGGGAGAATGCCAGGGTTTGGATCATGGATGCAGTTATGGATACTAATGAATGAACCAGGGAATGGTGTTCTTGAGGATCAATATCATCTGCTGTGCAGACTTCATCATTGAGTATTATGCCCTTTTTTAGGATTGACTTTTTGGTGGTTGATTAATTTAAAAATATAGTAACAACTCTAGCCGGGCTCGGTGGCTCAGCCTGTAATCCCACGCCTTTTGGGAGGCTGAGGTGAGTGGATTGCCTGAGCCTGCGGGTTCGAGACCCGCCTGGGCAGGCAAGACCTCATCTCTACAATAAATCAAAAAATTAGCTGGGCGTGGTAGCGCATGCCTTTAATTCCGACTACTTGGAAGGCTGAGGTGGAAGGATCGCTGGAGCCCAGCAGGTCGAGGCTGCGGTGTCAGGTAGCGGCCACTGCACTCCAGTCTGGGTGACAGAGTGAGACTCCAACTCAATAAATAAATAAATAAATAAATAAATAAATAAAAATATAGTAACAACTCAAATGATCAAAAATACATAAATATCCAACAGTAAAAGAATGATCTTCTCTCTTTCCCAGTCTACCCCTTTGATGTTAACAATTTGATGTTTCTTCTGTTAATTTTGCTTATATTATCATAGTTAGACATAAATGCACATAGCTATATTCATATACATTTCATCTTGTTTTGTATTTCTCATAATAGTTTTCCGGTACTGATGTAGTATTGTTACAGAGTTAGATATCAATAATAATTAAATTAAGTAGTTTAAAAACCTGTATCAAGTATAGTGGTTTTTCCTGGTAATTAAGAGGGTAGGATAATGTAGTGAAAAGTTTTTGGGTTTTGGAGTAAGAAACTTAGGTTCAAATCCCTTCATCACGTTTATTGATTGTGAGCTTAAGTTTCCTATTCTTTCTGAACTTCAGTTTCTTTACTCACCTCACAAAAGTTTCCCTTTTCTTTTTGCTAGCATTAAAGGTAGATTGTCCACTTATTCATGAAAAATGTGTCTTTTTTTTGAGCAACTTTTAATCTTTTTTTGTCCAAGCTATTTTTTTATTGAATTTTCAAAAATTATAAGGTAAAACCATAGAAAGTACAGTTGGGTATGTAGTGAAAAGTAAATCCTCATTTTACAACTGTCTCTTACCTGCCCTGGGTCCCTCCCAGCAGAAACCAACTCCTATTACCAGTTATGTTTTTTGTGTGCCCTTCCAGGGACGTTCTATGCATATATTCAAGCTTATTATATTCTTCCTACTGGGCAAAGACCACATTCCTAAATATGGAAACCTTGGGACCATTAATCCGTGGATATTTTTCTGATGATTTACCCATTATTTTTATAAGTCTGCCACAGGTGTGTACTTAGCAGCTTTACCAACTCCTGGTGGTATTCAGATCGCTGGGAAGACTCCCAACGATGGCTCATATGAACAGCACATCTCCCACATGCAGAAGAAGATAAATGACACAATTGCCAAGAACAAAGAGTTATATGAAATCAATCCTCCAGTAAGTAAAATAAGCCTACACTGTCTCTATATCAGTTATTGCTTCTTATGTATTTTTAGGTTTTCTTATTTAGGATGATAAAGATTTATTTTTCATTGTTTAGATTAGTCTCCTTATTACTCATTCTCTTACCTCCCTTTATGTCTTTGCTCTACTGGCTCTTTTTTGCTAAGTACTCTAACCATCCTATTTAAAAATCACAACTCTCCTGTCCACTTTTGGCACTTCCTAGCAGTCTTTTTTATTGCCTTCTCTAAGTCTTATCTCTGTGTGTATGTGTGTATGTGTATTATTTTTGTCTAGTGCATGTTACTGCCGGTAGAATGGAGTTCCATGAGGGCTACATTCTTGATGCTTAGAAAAGTTCCTCATAGTGATAACTTCTTAATAAATATTTACTGAATCATGAAATGAATGGTTTAAAATGTTCTTTCATTTTACCTAAAAGAAAGATTGCCTATCTGTGGTAAAAATGTGAAAGAATATAGTTTTTCAGTTACAGTTTCTTTCCTGTAATTTTCCTATGAATCATTTCCATAATCAGTCTTTTTACCAAGTTTGCAATAAATAGGTATCACATTGCTTCTTCCTCTATGGATACTTTATTGCCTTAGTCTGAAATGGAAGAAAAAAATGTGTTGTAGTTAGAATGAAACTGTTTGTTTTTCTGAGTCCCCGATACTGAAATACTTTCACAAAAGAAAGTGTTTGGATAACATCATTATTATGTTTTTACTGTTTTATAAATGCTGTCTACTTTTGGCTGGTTTTCTGGAACAGTGCATCTGACTTTTTGCATCAGACCTGTAGCTTTCATTATATTATTCTAGGAAAGTTGTTAATGGGAGGAATTTCAAAATATGGGTGAGCGCTGTGTTGTTTATTGTGGTAGTCACTGGTATGCTATTGAGCACTTGGTGTGTGGCAGGTCTGAATTGAGATGTATTATGAGTGTAAAATAAACATTGGAGTTTGAAGACTTAGTATGAAACAATGTAAAATATTTCATAAATGTTTTGTGTATTGATTACATATTGAAAATGTAATATTTTGGATACATTAAATATTTCAGTAACAGATTTTGTTTGTTTCTTCTTACTTGATTACTTATGTGACTTGCTTTATATTTCTATTGAATGGCACTGACTTAGAGCTTCTTTAAATTGAATACATATGTTGATGTGTTAATATATTAATACTGGAGGCTGGACAGAAGTGATTTATGCCTGCAATCCTAGCACTTTGGGAGGCCAGGGCAGGAGGATTGCTTGAGTCCCGAAGTTTGAGACTAACCTAGTTGAAACTAGCTTAGACCTCATCTCTAAAAAAATAAAAAAATTAGCTGAGCATAGTGGTATGTGCCAGTAGTCCCAGCTTACCCATGAGGCAGAGGTGGGAGGATGACTTGAGCCCAGGAGGTCAAGGCTGCAGTGAGTTAGTATACAATATATATAAAGTATATACAGATATAAATACTTGAAAAATAGATTTGTATAAGCTCTCCCATATATCAGTTTACTGACTTTTTACAGTACATTATTTTCATTTTCTAATTATATTTTGATATTTGAACGTCTGCTTATAGTATTTATGTCAGTTGAGGGAAATTATTTGTAACTTTACACGTTCAGGCTCCATTTATTCTTCATTTATCAATTCTAATGATACAAGCTGAACTCTTTTACATAATAGTGTTTATCACCTCTGTAAGTCCATCCTGAGCTTCCATAGGAAGAATTGACTCTTCTTCTATTGTGTTCTTGTTGTACCTGTATGTTCTTCAGTCATAATGCCTGTTATATATTAATGTACTTAGTTTTTACATATCTGTCTTCCTTTACTACAATGTAAGCCTTCTGAATGGGATGTATTTGAATAAGGATGTGAGTTAAATTACTTCATCCACTCAACACTTATGAGTTGTTGCTATGTGTCACGCAGTTTACGTTTTGAAGGAGGGAGTAAATCTATTATGATTTCTAAAATTTCATCGTATATGAATTTCATGTGTTAAGGATATCTGTATTTCCATAAAAGTACTCATCAATTTATGAATCTTCTGTTATGTCTCTCTTATTTCAGATACAGACTATATTGCAGCCATTTAGCATAACATCTCAAAATCTGTTTGACAAAGTTAGTGTACAAGGTTAATTACCAGACCACTGTATACATTACAGCTTTGTATTTTCAATTTTATAAAGCAATTTAGGTTCACCTTGGAAATATAGATCAGAGTGATGAGAATGTTTCTTTGTATAGGAAGGTCACTAGCTGAAGTAAATGCTATCTCTTGTTTGAATTTTTTTCTCAGTACATTGAAAAATGTTTCTAATGCAGACGTATATGTAGTGACACTTTAAATGAACTTTATAGAGGTAATCAAAGGTATTGAAATAAGATGCAAATCCCTTAGTATAACAGTACTTACTAGTGATGAAACATCATTATGAATATAAAATATATTAAATACCAGATAGTTATATTTATTAAGTTCATGATATAACGATCAGAGGCATAACCACCTGAAACTACCATAAAATCACAAAAGGAAGCATGGTATCTAATAGGAAGAACACTACACTGAGTCAAAAAAACTGACCTAGACAGATTCCACACTTTCTAGTTTTCAAACCCAGGTACTACTTTACTTCTGAATTACAACCCTTTCCCATTTTGTCGTCATTTTAATGTACACCCTGTCAAATTTATAGAGAGCTAGTTTATTTGGAGTGCTAATAAGATAAATGGATATATATATAAATAAATCTATAGATCGTTAGTTCATAAAATTGTGCAGTGGTAGTCTTATTTGTGCTATGTACTAGCAATGAACATTTAAAACTGTATTTTTGAAAAATTTCCACTTATAATTTTCTTTCTTTTTTTTTTTAACTCTGTTTCACCAGCAATAGGTATGCCTTTTGCATTTGTGTTCACATTTACACACTCTTCCAGTACTCCTTTGTGGCCAACAGATACTTAGAACTTCTAGTTAGCGCTGATCTTTGGCTATAATAGGGAAAAGTTCACTAAGCCATGTGGGATTGCACCATACACTGACCTTAAAAAGATCATTATTGTGACTATCAAAGTTTATGTAGCTTAATGAGTGGCATAGCAAATACACGCATTTTATATCTATACACAGATACATATAGGCATGTATTCATACACATATACACATATGTTCTTTCATATTCCATGTTTTACTCTGTGGAGTTTTCAAAAATTACCAGTGGATTAAAAAAAAGATGTAAAAGATTAGAATCCTTTCTGGGAACATACATCTTTAAATCTTCATGGCCTATTAGGTAATTTTAAATGCTGAGTGAGTAGACAAGACGCCTAGCCAGGTGTGCTGAGCTGGAAGGACTGCCAATTCTGTACTTGTTGTAGTGTCCTGTCTGTACACTAGATGTCCGTTTTACCTTATTATATCTGATAGTTATATATATGTTTCTGGGTTAGTGTATCAGTAAAGCTGCTATTATAGATAGAAGGAAATATCCATATGATCTTTTAAAGGTTAGGTACAAAATTTTTTTTTTTTTTTTTTTTTTT